TAAAGAAGATTAAAAAAGAGCATGAAACTGTTATAGTAACTAAAATTAATAAAACAGATTAAAAGTAGAAAATACACGACGAAGATGAAATTCGAACCCACTTGCGCAGAGCATAATAATGGTTTATCAGTACAACGCATTAACCACTCGGCCATCTTGTCAACTATACAACAATACCCTAGCAATTTTGCTAAATGCTATAAGCTCAAATTGTAATATTACATAATATAACTACCGAAAGATAATTTTTGTTTACTAAGCTGATGAAGATTAAAAAAAGAGCATCACACGACGAGGATGGGATTCGAACCCACGCGTGCAGAACACAATGGATTAGCAGTCCATCGCCTTAACCACTCGGCCACCTCGTCAAGTTACGATTACAATAATACGCTTATTATATTTATATAAAATAATTAAATATGATACAACCGTTAAAAAAAGAAAATCATTACTCGACGAAGATGTTTCAACCCATAATGGATTAACAGTTCATCGGCTTAACCACTCGGCAATCTCTGACTAATACGCTTGCATTTTGTTAGATTTCTTCTTGTTATCGAGTCACTACGTAGCTAGTGTGTATAATCTCGCTTACGTGGTGTGGTAGAAGGATTCGCAGATGGATACCTGACATGGGCCGCGTCGTAAGCGCTCCTTCTGTGCCCGGACAGGGGACTAGAGATGGACCAGTAACCCTCTACTCTTCTCGAATGATGTACTGGGATCTTTAAAGTGCACACGAGCCAAATTTGTACACTGGGCCTACGGTTTAGTCTGAGTCCGAGAAGACTTGTTCCACCACCGGAACCATAGGCGAGTGCCGTTCTAACCAGCGCCGATATTGTGGCTGCATGTCACAATCAATCCCTGTCTTAACCGCTCGGCCAATCGACTCGCCTCATTTTGTTAGATGCAACTAGATCAATTAACTGTTATATGAAACCAAATAACTACAGAACAAATTAAAAAATACAGAGAGGATAGAATTGAATTGAAAGTCCATCGCCCTAGCTACTTGGCCACCTCGTTATTACAATACGCTTACATTTTTGCTAAATGCTGCCAAACCAAACAAGTTAGCGTGACGTACCGAAAGATGTTTTCGAAAGATATTTTTCCTGACTGATGAAGATGACGATGAAGATTTAGATTAAAAAAGAACTTCACATTCGAATCCACGTGTGCAGAGCACAATGAATTAGCAGCCCATCACCTTAACCACTGGACCACCTCGTTAATTTATGACCACAGCTACGCTTACATTTTTGTTAAATGCTACCAATGTTATAACAAATTACTAAACAAGATACAACAGATTTGAAAAAAAAAATAAATATTACACGACGAGTGATGGGATTCCAACCCATAATGGATTAGCAGTTCATCCCCATAACCACTCGGCCCCGTCTGATACGCTTACATTTTGCTGAATTCAACCAACTCAAACTGTTATATCAAGTCACATAACTACAGAACAAATTAAAAATAGGAACACAACGAGGATGGAATTGAACCTACGCGTGCAGAGCACAATGGGTTAGCAGTCCATTACCCTAACCACTCAACAACCTCGTCACTACACGCTTACATTTTTGCTAAATGCTACCAAATCAAACTGTTATATCAAATAACTAAAAAGTAATACAACAGAATAAATACAGTAAACACACGACGAAGATGGGATTCGAACCTACGCGTGCAGAGCACAAGGGATTCGCAGTCTATCGCCTCAACCACTCGGCCATTTAGCAACAGCACCTACGCCCTGCATATGTTGCTAAATGCCACCAGCTCAAACATTTGTATTGAATAACTAATAATAGCTCGTATAAAAGATTAAAAAGCAATACACGATGAGAATGGGGTTAAAACCGACGTGTGCAGAGAAAATTATTCTGAGCAGTCCATCGCTTCGGTTACTCTTGCTTAACCAACGGTGGCGGAACGTTTTTGAAAGTGAGGGGGGGGGGTGCATTTCATAAGGTCGAGTATGGGAGCATCTAGGCTGTGGGCCAGGGGTCGCCAATGACCCCCGGTGGGGGTCCAGGGGGCGAAGATTTTACGAAGTTTGGTGAATTTTATAAGTTATTTTATAGGCATCAAGCTACTGTAATATGATTTCATATTTGTTGTAATTTCCAGTGGCGGATCCAGGAATTCGAAATAGAAGGCCCAGGGAGGGTACTTTCACAGATAGAAGATCTATACTACCTCAGCCCCACCATGGTTGGGGCTGAGGTAAGAAAATTTGTGGTTACTGGCACCTCTATGGCCGGAAATTGCACTTCCAGGCATAACATTTGAATATAATTATCTTTATATCTCCATTTATTTTTATTGAACAACTTAGGAGGGTGGGGCGGGCCGGCTAGGTCCCCTTGAATCCGCAACTGGGTACTTCAGCAGATGGAGAATCTATACCGCCTCAGCCACACCGTGATTTGTGATTATAGCACCCCTAGATGGCCGGAAATTACACTCTTAGACTTCAAATTTGAATATAATTTTCCTTATATCTCCATTAAAAAATTGAATTAGCCTCCCCCTTCCTCTTGAACGCGCCACAGACTTCCGAACAAAGTCGAAGTCGAGATTGCTTCCACGACCTCAATGAATTATTTATTATGAGGGTTATCCTTGATATGGGTTCCCCGACGAAAACATCACTTTTTCCCCGATGGATACAAATTACACTTCTATGTAGCTCAGAAATGATACTCCCACTGTGGCGGGTCCAGGAAGTCGAAATTGAGGGCTTCCAGTGAAGATTCTTGCGTAAGTAGAATGTCCACCCGCCTCAGCCCTACAACTGTTGGGGCTGAGGTAAGAAAAAATATGATTATGGCACCTCTAGATGGAAGGAAATGGCACTCTCAGATTAAAAGTTGAATACAATTTTGTCTGTTTTCTCCATATTTTTTAATAATTTTGAAAAAAAAAATGGGATGGGTCCCGTGCTGACTGGGTTTCCCCTTGAATCTGCCACTGTTCAACAGAACACTTGACATAGCCTACTATTTTGTTTCACAACTGATTAATTCCTAATGTCAAGCGAATGATTTTTTATTCGAAATACAGTTTTTACAACCTATAACACATTAACTACAGTGTACTGTAAATTCAGTAGTTAACCTTCAGACAACTTATTTTAAAAAGTGGCCTAATAAGTATCTTATTGTTTTCGTTAAATTAACCGTCAAACTAGCGTAATATAACCACATTTAAACTTTATAAAGTTTAAATGTGGTTATATTACGCTAGTTTGACGGTTTACTGTAAGCCAATCAGTTACACTTACTATACATCTTCGTGGTTAGCATGAAGAGAACTAGAACGTCGCTCCATAAGATTGCCTACCTCCTCCCCCCATATGCCTAAATACAGAATTCACGAATGCAGGCGATTTTTTCTGCATGCTCGAGGGTGGGTTTCAAGGAAACTTTACAGACTCACGTATACAGACGTCAATCAACATTTGGTTGCTCAACTCAAAAAGGGAACTTGTAATGTTCGTTACAAAAAGAAAAAAAAAATCAATATTTTATAATAATAATAATAATATTCGAAAAGTAGCTCATCTGTGTTGGTGTTTGAATATACTAAACGTTTAAACTTTTGATCACAACACAAACAAATTTCATTACCGTGAAATTTTCGACCGTAATGCCACGGTCTTCCTCAGCACAATGACTGGAATATGACTTGAAGGCTACACCGATTTTGGGCACGTGATCTTACGAACACGTGACTCCAAAATCGGATCGTAGATCTTTGGCAGTTTGTGTCGGCCCCCGTCTCGGTTTAGCGTTGGTTTATTCACACGGATATAAATTGCCTCTTTGACACCTCTTTCAAAGTGTCTTGGTTCCCTGTCAAGAATGTTGACCTGTGCCAGGTCCACATGATGTCCAGGTGATTCAATGTGTATATGTTGAGAGATTTCCGATGAAGTTGAACTCGGTCTACGATCTGTCTCTTATACACATCTAGATGTGTATAAGAGACAGGGTCGAGTATGGGAGCATCTAGGCTGTGGGCCAGGGGTCGCCAATGACCCCCGGTGGGGGTCCAGGGGGCGAAGATTTTACGAAGTTTGGTGAATTTTATAAGTTATTTTATAGGCATCAAGCTACTGTAATATGATTTCATATTTGTTGTAATTTCCAGTGGCGGATCCAGGAATTCGAAATAGAAGGCCCAGGGAGGGTACTTTCACAGATAGAAGATCCGATTCCGCCGCCATTGTGCTTAACTTAATATTAAAAACATTAAAGGTATTAGTATTTATAAAATGTGGAAAACACAAGCAACTACGGTATCAGGTCAAAACGGCAATAAACCGAAAAGGAAATGACAAGCACCAAAACGGCAATATAGACCCAGCACGACAATGACATGTACCAAAACGGCAATAGTGCATAGACCAAAACGGCATAGGAGCAAAATCAATGCCAAGAGCAAGCGCCGCCTGGCGTAGGCCGCAGTTTAATATTTTCCGAATCGTGGTAAAAAAAGTGTTGCTGTTTTGACTAGAAAACACGTAAAGGCATGCTTGTTGGTTATCAACAACAAACTATTGTTGATTATATCTCTAGCACTGTGTTTAGTATTTAAGCTCAACAAGTCAGTAATGTTAAGTACACTTTCCTGCAAAGCTGGCCCAATTAATCCTATCCTTAACATCTTTTTTTTTTAAATGTGTTACAAAAACCGTCGTATTTTTTAAACAAAGACCACTGTATTATATTCAATGCACATTGGTTGTGTTTATAGAAATTTTATCGTGTTAAATCTGATACAGTAATAGATAATATAGCTTAACCATTGTTCAAATCCGTTCAAACACATTTACCGATTTAAACTACTATCCAAACATTAGGTAAAAATCAACACAAAAATGAGAGGAGATTTTACAAAGGCATGTGTATAACTCTAATATTATATGTCTTAAAGATTACAAACTAACAGCAAAAACCTATTCTTTTATTTCTTTGCAGGAATTAAAATTGTTAAGATCAAGACAGAGGCGGCAGGCCAATGTAAGATACTTAGTTTGTATATTTTAATGAGAAATAGTTTTATTTCTTTGTTTTACATTAATTATGTAAAGCAGCCTACATTTATATCAGATTTTAACTTCAGTAGGTATATGATAAATTAATATTGATAACAATGAATTGTATTACCAGTTCGAGGGATATATTGTAAGTGTACCCACTTCTTATGATGTGTATTTTGGTACTTTGTTATTTATTTCGAGTTTAACATTCAATACGATCAATAAACATTTCAAGACAGGTACACTAATAATAATAATAATAATAATAATAATAATAATAATAATAATAATAATAATAATATAATAATAATAATAATAATAATGATAATAGTAATAATAGTAGTAATAATAATAATAATAATAAGAGCACCCATTAGAGAACGTATCTCCACACACCGCAAATACCTTTTTATTGAATAAATCTCCCAAAATATGTTCTTAATTTACTTTAATCACCACCACTACCACCCCAACTCACTTCGCTACTCCTCTTCAAATCGGACAATAACCCGACAATCTCTTTCTTTGAAATAATTCCTCAAAAATATTTCATACTTTCTAACCATCAACCACAATCTACTTTGAATAAAAAAAAACACTAACACGAAAGTTTCATTTCGACGGTTTTTTTTAAAGATATTTGAATGGTCCAATATATATCGACACAAATAAATGTATTCACTTCATTTTTCGTAGGCCTTTTATCAGCTGTACACCTGTAAATTCATTAACATACTGGCACGTTTTACTCTTATAGCTGACAATCAAAATACATGAAATATTGGTGTTGAAATGGAAATATTTTAGAAATAGAATGGGATGTGGTATTTATCGTCGTTGAATGTAAAGATGCATAAAAATATTTCCAATAAGTTCCTAAACAAGTGGAGTTAGTACATATAAAACGCGTACACCTTAACTATAATTGCACAAATTTAGATATTCATCAAATAGCTATTGTTTCTGCCTACAGTAATACGGTAAACTTATTCTTAAAATGGTCCTCATATCCATACTCTACTTCGGACCGTTGAGAAAATTGAAACAGTTCTTTAATAAAACATGACAATCTATTCTGCCCATTGTCATTTTTATCCATTGATCCATTTTCGAGATATTCAGGTCTGGGCCCTAATGGCCCTCAAATGCACACCCGAATTTGGATCGTCACTGACACATTAGAATTTATTTCTTGTAACGTGGTTATAAACTTTCACAAAAGTTTCATTCAAATCAGTTGATTAGTTTTTTAAATATCTGGGATCAAAGACAACAAACCATCCCATGCACGAGGAATGGAATTAAATACAGAAAATTTAAAAGTAATATTCTAGAATAGAAATGTACTTAAAGATATCGAAGGAAAATATTCCATAGAGATATTCTGAAACCTTTGTACATAGGATAGTTCACACCTGCTGGCCAGAAAGAATGCTCTTGTAATTTCCTCCGTTGGATCCATTCCAACGCCTGGGGGTGACCCTTCCGCTGTGGATACCAGCGGTAACTGCATATTCCATAATTGCCCACACATACATTTATATAGTTTAGTACAGTAATAACAAATTAATCATCAGATCTAAGTCTTCATGAAACCCAACAGTGTTGCTGTTTTAGACCTAACTGAAAGAACGTGGTACCCACAGTCAAGTTTCGAATTAAAAGTAACTCCAAACATTTCATGAACGAAACATGATGCAATAAGACCAATTGTATACTGTATTCAATACAATTATTTGAATGATATAAGATGACCAAATTAGGCACATAACAGAACACTTCTTAACATTAAGGTTTAATTTAATTTTTTAAATGTACATGCCTTATCTTAACCAGAATGTACGGCCGATTCGTGAGGTGAAGGTTTTGGATATCAAATCAAAAATAGCAATGAGGTTTGCTAGCACTACGATCGTCTGCAGGATTACAAATAAAGGCGCCAATTCTGAGAGAATCACTTTTCCACTAGAATTTCCAGATAATGCATACATTACAGAATTTACTGTGTAAGTTATCAGCCATACATTGTTTTTTTTATCAAATGTGCATACCCAGGAATCACAATTTTACGTTATAATTACCTTCCAGTTTGGTTTTTCAAAACGTTTTTGTAGAATAATATAATACCTTAAATAATTTACTGTAAATAGATAAGTAGTACGTACAGGATTTTACAACGTAATTGCGACTGAATAAGGTTAAAACGTTGATTCAACTTGTACATTTTGTGATATTTTTACAACGTTTATGATACTATAATAACTTTTTATTTTTGCTGGAGTACTAATAATGCTAAGTTAAAGAAACAAGTTAAGTTACCCTTAAGAGCTTAAATAGGGAGAATCATTTATTGTTTTCGTATATTAGACACTACTTAATAAAGTATATTTAAAAGGGGCTAAATTCCAGTCTATTATTCATTAGCAACTTTTGAAATCATTTTATAAAATATAAAATCAGTGATTGTAAATAGTTGGTTATTATTAGATATTAGTATGCCAACAAACATTTAAAAATAAAATTAAAAGGGCGAAAATGGGCTTCTTGAATCCAATGGAAAACATTATTCAGAATAATCAAGAATTTTAGCCATTACAGACCTATTATGCCTATTATTAGGCCTAATACAAAGTAGGAGATTACGGTACCGTTTTAACCAGAGTACATTGTAAAAACAGCGTGGAAGATTTAACACAAAGCTCCACACGCAATGTTGTCAAGTATTTGGTGTGACACGTTTAATAGTTAAACGTGCTTAGACATACCTTAATTTATTTAGGATCTTGACTTGTTTAGAATTAAATGTGCTTAGGTATTTGACATCGTAATGTCAAAAACGGTACAGCATTGTGTTTAAATGCTCCACGCTGTTTCTACAGTGTAGTGATAAAGAGGAAATATATATATATATAATCAGCAACAATCATGTTATTTTATTTTATCACCTTCCTAATTTTCAATATTTCTTTTCTCAGAGTTGTGGATGGAGATGATGAAATATATTATGGTAAAATTAGAGACCGTTGCGAAGGCTCAGATGAATACACATTTAGCGCTTCTGGAGATGTTCCACCCAATGCGTACGTATATTAACACATTAAGGTTATCTCTTACACACGAAACGCATTAACAACTCAAAAAACATTATTTTTTTAACAACATATAATAGAAAAGAACATTTTTATATAATCTACAGATGTTTTACTACAAAAACCTTTAAATTTGCTAAAAGAAATTTAAAAATAAATACCGGTATTAAAAAATTCAATTCCATATTTAAACTGCCTAATTTACATATTTAAGGAAGTTATTAAATTAAAATTAAAATTTTAAATTAGAAAAAAGTCCCCATTAACTAACAAACAATTAAATTACCATTTCTGTATACTTTTTCATTGACCCTTCAATTTGGCTGGTAACAAATTTAAGGTTTTATGCGAAATTTTAGGTGGAATTTTATAACTCATTTTATTCAAAGTATAACTTCTAGATTATTGGACTTACGTTTCAGATCTTTAACTCACATACCTCATTATTGTTTTCAAAATAAGTAACCATTTCTGCTTTATGCATTTTAGTGATCCACTTTGGAACAATTTCACAACTGCCGTTTACCTTAGACCAAGAGGTCATGTGACATATACTGTGACGTACCAAGAGATATTAAGAAGGGTTCGTGGAAGTTACTCTCTAGTGATAAGTGTAAAACCTGGACACGTAAGTGGATAAACTATCATCTTTTTTAAATTTTAGTATTCACTTCCATATGGCTTTCCCCAATCTTGTAAAGTATAACCATGGGGGCGGGGGGATTAGTTTAGATAAGGTGCATCGTGTATATGTACTAATTGGGTTAATTAGAAAGTGGGGTAGAAAGTGCAACTGTGAGTTATTATTGTTTAATTTTTGTGTGTGTGGTGGGGAGGGTCTGACGGGCCACATCAGGTCTTGATAGGTTTGTCACTTTCCACTCCATAGGTAACTGGCAGGATATGTGTTTGTCCTGTGCGTACTGTGTAACAGCGGAATAATTGTTGTAGAATTATGTGAACATGTAGCTACTTCAGGCGCCTACTTACGGCGGCTTGGTAGTCACAGACCACGCTGCGTATTATTATGGGTTATTTTGTTGCAGGATGTTCCCTTTTATTTTTTAATAGGTTGTTACTTCTTCTTATTTAGGTTGTTTCAGATTTTGGTATAGATGTACAGGTTACAGAAGCACAAGGTATCTCCTACATAAACGCTGGGTTCTTTAATTTTTCATCATCAGTGGCCAAACGCTCGTCTGAACTGTCGCTGTTTTCTTCTGTATTTTACGGTGGAAGAGACACATTGAACAGCCAGAATGAAGCAATAGACTCTATCTTAGGTGATGACGTCAACAGAGTGTTTTTATCGGAATATATCACCAACAAGAAAAATCAGAATAACCGGGCTAGCTTTAGGTACGACCCTTCTAAGGCTGAACAGCAGGCGTTCAATTCTGACTTGGGTCTTTATGGCGTTTTTGTGTTGTCCTACGATGTGGAGCATGATGATGTCAGTCCAGGAGATGTCATGGTGAGATGATTTTCTATCATACTTTTTCAGAACGGGAATCAATATTAGGCTTATCTATTGTTTATCTATGTACTATATATATATATATATATATATATATATACTATATATATACTATATATACTACATATACTATATATAACTATATACCATGTGTATGTATATATATATATAACTATATACTATATATATGTATATATATATATATATATATATATAATGACATTGAAGCTGCAAGACAGCATAGCATTATAAACGTAGCAGTAAAAATAGATTAAGATAGAAATAAAATTAACACTGATGATAATGATGACAATAATGATGTTGGTGATGATGATAATGATAATGATGATGATGATAATGATGATAACAACGACGGTCATAATAATAATAATAATAATGATAATAATAATGTATAAACTATTATAATGGTGACGTCATTAAAATAATTGTGTAGGTAGCCGATGATTTCTTTGTCCATTACTTCTCTCCGAGTGGACTTCAAGCGCTGCCAAAGGACGTTGTCTTTGCATTTGATGTCAGTGCTTCTATGTATGGCAGAAAGCTAACACAAACAAAAATGGCACTGAAGACAATTCTAGACGATCTAAGTGTCGCAGATAGATTTAACATCCTAACATTCTCAACTGACATTTATCTGTGGGAACAGAACAGATTGGTAGAAGCAAACTCAGCGAACATTGAAAGAGCTAAAACGCACGTAGAAAATCTTAAAAGCATTAGAAGTAAGTGGAAATAATACAATCTATGCTGTCTTAACGATGGGTTTACAGCACTGAAAATGTATAAATAAATTTTTAATTATTTAAATTGCATTGTTTACAGTGATTTACCAGTTCATTTTGGTAGTAGTATGCAAATCAATGCTCACTCCTATTAAGCTATGTCCAGTCTATTCAATTTTACGTGACAAAAAAATACGTGACATAAACTATGGTCACGGTGACATCACATCATGACGTTATATAGGTACATCATGACTATATATGGGCATACAACAGTTTTTTCTCCATAGTCATGACAGGGAATTTTATTTAATAGCATAGCATCCCTCTTTGCAAGACGTAATTTTACACTTATTTTACCTTCTCGAACTTGTTGAAAAACGATCTTTTTGTAATTTTAACTGTTGCATGTTCGAACATGTCCTTTGTAAATTGTATTCTGTCTATATATATATTTTCTTTAATTACATTATGCTGTAAATTTTGCATTTTCGATATTAAATAAAGTTTTGAATTGAATTACGCACATTAGGGCTATTTTATGCATTTAGGTTTACTGACTATTTAACTACCAGTTTAGCTGAATCTCGAATCTAGAATCTCGAAAATAGAAATCTTCAATTATTGATTTCTAAGTAGTTTACTATTTTTTTTTTTTTTTTTTTTTTTTTTTTTAAGATTGTCTTCATACTTTAATTTAATCTGCCGTCATCAATCGGGTTTTCATCCACTTCATAGTACATCCACTGCCCTCATTGAATTTTCAGACTATATTCTTTATAATGTGGATAAAAGCCAACTCACATGTGGAGTTTTTCTCGATCTAAAAAAGCTTTTAACTCAGTTCATCACCAAACCCTTATCAACAAACTGACTACTTTTGGAATTTCTAGTCACGAGCAAAACTGGTTTGCCTATTACCTTGATAATCGTCAACAAGTTTTAGTATATGCTGACGACACTGCTTTAAATTTTCATCCAAAAATGTTATTGACATTCAGACACTCTTTTTCATTACCTACATAATGTTGCAAAAACAAACTCACTTTAAATGTAAGCAAAACTAAAGCAATCTTATTTGGATCCTCTAGGAAACTCAAAGGAACAGACGAACTTAAAATTCACATAGGAAACTCTGTCATTCAACAGTTAACTGTATAAAACGTCTTGGTGTATGGATTGACTATCAATTAAAAATTAACCAAAGAATTCCTTTACTATGTAGGATACGTCACTAACTTGATAAAAATATTCTTAATTTGCTTTACAATAGTCTTTTTCTCCCTCCCTCTTTCTGACTATTGTGATATTGGTTGGGGTAAATGTGGTTGGGCTCTCTGACAGACTGCAGAGTACGAAAAATATTGCTGCCCGAGCTATTCTTAGGGCTAAAATCCGAACAAATATTTTTTCTCTACACCAGCAACTTGGCTGGTCTTTACTGCTGGATAGAAGAGATCGACATGAATTGTCGATGGTACGAAAATGTCTGAGTGGCAGAGTTCCAACATATTTTGATAATATCTTTACCCCCGTATGTAGACTTTACAACCATAAGACTAGGGCCAGCTTTTCGAGACATTTTGTCATTGCCCAAATGTCGGACTGAATCTGGGAGAAGGAGGTTTGCCAACAGGGGCAGCATAACGTTTAATTCTAATAATAATAATAATATTTATAATAATAATAATAATAATAATAATAATAATAATAATAATAATAATAATAATAATAATGGTAATACTGGTAATAATAATAATAATAATAATAATAATAATAATAATAATAATAATAATAATAATAATAATAATAATAACTAGCCATTTTCTTTCTGCTGTATTTCTCTAAATATATTTATAAATGTTCGTATTGATCTTACATTATTTTAGCAATTTTAAAAATGTTATGATCTGGATGTAAATGTATTTTTTATGGTTTATGTATGTTGCTGGTTTAATGAATTATGAATGTTATTGTTGACTTTCTGTACTGGGCCCTGTGGGAGAACTTTAGATATGTTACTAAGCAGGTTTTCCCAGTATAAAGAATAAAGAAATTACTTTAAAAAAAAAGTCCTTTATACTTATGATTTCCTTAGTATCTAAGGCACGAAGTCTTAGTATAAATAAATATTTAGGGCAGTCACTCATTGTATATTTAATGGTTTTAGCTTTGTGCTGCTGACTTTTTCTGTATATTTTATTTATAAAATAGCATTAGATAGAATAACTCTGGCTCCCTTCTTCTTAAAAGATACTAAATTCAATGTGACATTAAAGTTGGAAATCGGTCATAAAATGAAGCAACAAATAAAAGAATCATAACCACAATATATAGGCCTCTAGTTTTTAAGTTTTTGGTATTTTCCTGTTTACTATTTTCTACACAGGTACAAACATTAATGGCGCGTTGGTTGAAGGATTGAAGCTGCTGAATAATGCAACAGGTGGATCTCGTACGTCCGTCTGCATCCTGTTTCTGTTAACGGACGGTACGGCAACAATCGGCGAGACAAATTCCAGAGTAATCTTACAAAACACACGGAAAGAAAATCAGAACGACTGTTCTATCATCACTCTGGGCTTCGGTAAACGAGACTCTGACGTTGATTTCCCTTTCTTGACTAGAATCGCTTTAGCTAATAAAGGTATAGCTAGACGAATCTTTGACGGAGTTGATGTGCCGACACAGCTAAAGGGCGTCTATGATGAGGTTGCTACACCGCTTCTTCGCGATCTGACCATATCCTACTTGGAAAATAGTGTTGATCTCGCCACACTCACCCAGACTCAATTTCAGAACTTTTTCAACGGGTCTGAACTATCAGTAGCTGGTCGGTTGGCTGACCCTCAATTAACAGAAATCCCTGTTCGTGTTACGGCAACAGGTTCGACCGGTTCTGGAATCAATAACATTGGTGAGATGACAATGGAAGAGAGAATAAATGTTGTGGTAGGTATACTAACATGTGGATAATTAAACTTTTAAGTTTAACTAGTATTTTAAAAAAGGCATGGGAGAAATATAAATGAAAATGTTTTATACAAAATATAAGCATTTCACATTGTTAAAAGTGACAGATTTAACAAATCTTCGTGCTTATAGGCCTACATCTTCCTAATTTCGTTCCATAGGATAATCCAAGTTCACGGCACGTCCCGCGAGATTTTGTTGAACGATCTTGGGCATTTCATACGCTAGAAGAAACCTTAAGAAACCTTGAAATTACCGAAGACGAGAAGAAGCGAGAGTACTCTCTCAGAAGCGCATTCGATTTATCTCAACGCTACAACCTTTTCACTCCTGTGACGTCATTCAAATTTATCAATTCTAAGGGCCAATCAAAAGTACCTGATGGATTTGGATGGGAGTTGGTCGGTTCAAAATATAATACAGCTGAGAAAGACAAACTGGGATCCGAGTCGGAGTTTTGCGTAAGGGGTAAGTACTCTTTAAGCCTATTTGTTATGTTGGCGCCTGCAAGTATAATTATGCAAGAATATGCCACTGTAAGTACAATCACTAGCATTTAGATATTTCCATTTTAATATATTTTGTTTACACTTATTTTGTCATTTTTGGGTTTTGTTTTTTTCATTTTATTGAAATACATTTCTTGACTTCAGTAGGGGGTTATCAGGTCCTGTGATCAGTTGGTGGACCAAAACATTGTAGTAATTTAGGGTATCTCTATCTTTCTGGTTTTATCTTTGGCCAAATTATTGTGCAGATGTTTAGGCACTCCAAAGCACATTGATGACTTTGTTCCTCAGACGACAAGAGCTACATCAATGTTGGTCGAGAGTTATATTGAATATCTCCTTTCCTCGTAGCATAGCCTATAAGATTGTAAAAAAAAACGTTAGTAGCTAAAATTATCAAATGCCTTGGAATAATAGACATAGGGCATTCTTCACCAAACCCACGTTTGGATTCTTCAGTCAAGTTAAGTCAATTACAAGGATTCCCGCTAACCTGGGCAGAGTGACCTATGGGCAGTAATTGTAAAAACCAGAATAATGTCCTTGCACGATGTGCAGGATTTTAAGAAAATAACGGGGTTTTTTTTCTTGTAGACTAAAATATTTGCGATTTTTAAAGAGACAAATAAAATGTTTGTATTTTTATAAATTATTTTCAATATTTTGCTTTAATACGAAGTCACGAATTATTATTAATTGTTTAAAGATTAAAACAAAAGCTTATGTTTTAGCTTATTAGGCAAAAAATGCACATAAAGAACGAAGTGAAAATTAAATATTTAAATTACGTTTTTTACCACCTACTTTGTAATCGGAACTATTGCTTTGTTTTTATTCAAAATATAATTTTCTTCTTTAATCTAATATTATATTCTAATTAATATTATATTCTAATATACAACTCTAATATTGCTTTCAGCTGAAGAACCAGTCGTTGGTGTTGACGTAAGTTTTTTTGTGTTATCTATTGTTAATTTGCTTTGAAAAAATAGTAATATTTTAAAAAATATAGATCGCTTCATTGATGATTGATAATCGTATTTTTCTTCAATTTTCTTTGATTAATTACTCCATTTATATAACTTTTACAATTATTACATACATTAGTATTATATAAGTCATTAAATAATTCTAAATTATTATGCACTTCAGTATGTAGACTAGGCAAAATTTGGAAAAAAATTGCTTATTTAAGGTGGTAGATGCAAATTGTGTTAATTTATGGCATACAAGCTTTTTGGAGTTTTTGAGGGGTGCTGAACTCAAATCTGCTGTATGCCAAGCTAAAAATGACCGAAAAGCCTCTAATTCTAACATGGCCGCCGAAATAGCCGCCAAATGTTGATATTTGTCATAACCTTCATAATATTCCATATATAAACAACAGTTTTAGAGTCTGTGATTTTTGGTGCCAGGGCATATAGTGGCACCAAAAAAGTTAAATTCAGCCATTAGCGGTTGAAGAAGTCCAAGATGGCCGCCAAAATGGCTGCTAAATTTAAATATTTAAACTCCCTTAATAGTCCATATAGAACAATGGCTTTTTTAGCCTATGATTTGAAGTGATAGGGGCATACAGTGGCACCATCAGAAGTCAATTTCAATCATTAGCGGTTGCAGATATCCAAAATGGCCGCCAAATTGGCCGTCAGATTGTAATATTTACCATAACTCCAATGACATTCTTTATAGAGCAGTGGTGTTTTTTTATTCTGTGATTTGAGATGTTAGGGGCATACAGTAGCACCATCAAAAGTCAATTTCAGCTATTAGCGGTTGCATAGATCGAATGGCAGCCAGATTTTAAAATTGAACGTTCACTCCCTAAATATTCCATAAAACATTGGCCTATTTTAGTCTGCGATTTAAGATTTTTTGTTAGGAGCATAAAGTTGCACCACCAAAAGTCAAATTCAGCCACTTGCAAAAATCCAAGATGACCTCCAAAATGGCCGCAACATTATAATATTCCAAATTGGACAACAGTTATGTTTTGTGGGGTATGCCATAAGAAATTAGTTTTGTGAACTACCCTGTATGCTATTGGTAGTCATTGTACTATTTTCCACAACACAACATAAACTGTTGAACTATCATCATATCAGTGTCCTTTACCACAAAGAAAAACTGAAGAGCAGGTGAAAAAGACAAAAATCAGTGACTTATAATAAGGGAAACTAGTTTGGTGGACTACCCTAATTGACATTGGGAGTCAAGTACCATTTTCCACAATCCAATTCTTGTAACTGTTGGAGAATACAACAGTATAACTTATCACCAAATGAGTGTCCTGCCCAACAAAGACGATCTGAAGAGCAATTGGAAAAGATTATGTAAGAGAAACTAGTTTGGTGGATTACCAGTACCCTGTTGGACACTGAAAGTGGTAGTGGCATGTCTGTTGTAGAATGTTTTCCATGTGCATTAAATGCCACATTTGTAATTTTATCTAAGATTCATTCATCATGTCAAAGGTGAAAATATAGCCTTTTTAAAAATCCAATACGCAATTACTTGTCATCCAGTTGATGGTCCACACTTCATTCGTCCATCACGATGAGTTTTACTATTATATGGTGAATCTGCAAATTATTCTGATTTGTACTACTGCATTGGCCTCTAACATGTTTGGGATCCGTGAGCTAATTAATATATGAACACTTTACTATCAGCTTGCAATGAATTTTTAAAACAATCGAAAAGACCAAATGGTGACTTTTCCATAGTAAAAAGCCATAGTCACAATACGATTTGCTATATAGCTTTTTGAAAGCTTTAGGATCAGCTTTTCTCAAAGTTTATCATTTGTTCCTTCTGTACTAGTATTTGTGTATTCTCCAACAGTCTCAATGTCAAAGAGTTTGGTGGAGTCAAGTACCTTTTGAAACAACTCATAAGACTGTCGGAGATTACACCAATACCAGCGGAACCTATCATTAAATGAGCGTCCTGTCTCACAAACAAATCAGCTTTATTTAAGAAGATACTTATTTGATTGTAGGTTCTACTAATATTAGTGTACTCTCCAACAGTCGCAATGTTGGGCTTTTCAAAATGGTGCTTTACTTCCAGTGCCTAACAGGGTACCGGTAGTCCAACAAACTGTCCCACAAACACGTCATTTGATGTAGGATACGTCACTATCTTGATTAAAATAATATTTTATTATATAAATAATATTATTATTAATTTGCTTTACAAAAGTTTATTCTCCCTTTTTTTGATTATTGTGATATTGTTTGGGGTTTCTGTGGGAAGGGGCTCTCTGACAGACTGCAGATAACGCAATATGGCTGCCCGAACTTTTCTTAAGGCTAAAATCCAAACAAATATTTTTGCTCTACACCAGCAACTCGGCTGGTCATTACTGCTGGATAGAAAAGATCAACATGACTTGTCAATGGTAGGAAAATGTCTCTGAGTGGCAGAGTTCCAACACATTTTGATAATAGCTTTACCCCTGTAGGTAGACTTCACAACCATCGGACTGTATGTCCCTATCATCTCAAATCATAGGCTAAAACAGCTTTTGTTCTATAGAGAATATTAAGAGAATACTTAAACTTGGCAGCGATTTTGGCGGCCATCTTTGATTTCTTCAACCACTGACGGCTGAATTTGATTTTTGATGGTGCCACTATATGCCCTGGCACCAAAAATCGTAGAATAGAGTTTAACTTGGTTTTTTGTGGAAAATTATGTAAGTTATGACAAATATCAAAATTGGTCGCATTTTGGCGGCCATTTGGAGGCTTTCTGGTAATTTTTTAGATTGGCATACAGCAGATTTGAGTTCAGCACTCCTCAAAACCCCCAAAAAGCTTGCATGCCAAAAATAACATAATTTGCCATCGGAAGTGATATTTCTGGGAAATTGACCTAGTCTAATGGTATTGATTTAGAATAATCTAAGTGAATAAAAATTACCTACAAAATTACAACTAAAATATTATTATTAATATTATAATTATTATTACTACTATTATTACTATTAGTATTGTTGTTATTATTAGGAATAAAATAATATTAATAATACTAATAATAGCAATGATGATTTATGAATAATGATAATGGTAATAATAATAGTAATAATAAAATATTATTAATATGCTTAATTTAGGCCTATTGATATTCCAAATAATAGTTCTAATAATAACATATTAATAATAATGACAGTAGTAATTATGATGATGATGACAATAATGATGATGTGACTATGATTTTAATGGCAACAATAAGTTGATATATCATAGTGTATGCTGACCTCACATGATCACTAGAATAAACTCTATTGAAAACAATTAGTCAGTATCATGTATTCATTTGAAAATTTAATAATTCCAAAGTCTATGACAATTTTTTGTTATTTTCTTTGTAGACCCAGGAAGGTGTCGATATAGAAATGCTTGATATTGAAGCACAGATAGCATTGAGATATGCGCGTACGAAAGTCACTGCTCGTATAGTACACAAGAACCAGGGCAATGTTAATCTTCGGTTTAGCTTCCAGATTCCTAGATATGCGTTTGTCACTAACGTTATTGCGTAAGAATCATGCTGTTGTCTTTTATCAAACCACAAGCTTCTCTTGTTCATATTTATGCCGATTCAATAATTTTAACTCAATACCATTTGATTTACTGACGTATTTTTTCAATCAACGGCGATCATTCCAATGTAAATTGACATAAATGTGGCCCAGAATATCAAATTGTACAGAGACATCACTCCATCAAGGTCTAATATAATATTTAGGGAAATATTTAATGTTACAATAAGCCAATTCGTAGTTTTAACTGCACGTACCAGCATCCAAGGTTAATCAGCATAAGTTGTGTAATAGTTGGATGGTTGTTGGAGACTTTCAGCATTTCAATCTCCAGCCCAAGATTGGACACAATTCTTAGCGCCACCAATGTTAAAAGTCACACAAAATGTTTTTGTTTTTTCACGTTATAGAACCAGTCGAGGCAAAACCTACGAGACAACCATTGTGGATGATGAAAATTCAAAGAAACATGTTCTAGACGGCAAAGGAAGAATTCCAAGATGGTAAATAATACCAATTTTAATAGACATTTTTATTTAATTGATATTAACACCGTTTAAACTTGTATCAACTCAATTGTCCAATATGTTACCGTTTTTAGGGAGTATTAGTGATTCATTTTGTTATCACAATAAACTTAATGCAAATAATTTCCTTCATCATATATTTTTACAATTCTTATTTCAAAGATTGATTGGAAAGTCATCAAGTACAAACACGCTTTAAGATTTGATGCCCTACAAAGAAATAACAATAATAGCTATATAATAGAAATAAAAAGATAATAGTAGAAGACGATACCTTTATATATCATGATTCTTTAAAAAAATATGGGTAATGATATTATGACATATACAATGGAAAAAAAAGTAAAATACGACCAGGTATAAGAAAAAAAAATACTAATTTTATTTAGTAGTGATAATTGATTACTATGTTTATGATAACAATAAAGATTGTGATTGTAATAGTGGCAAAGAGCTTTGGACGTGATATATTGGGGGAATTTTCGGTTCATGTGTGTGTGCCTAAGTAAAGGTGTAAAGAAAACAAATCCTTCTCTTTGCATACATTGCCGTTGCAGATACCGTTATCGTTATCTATTTTGTCATTGTAATTATTAAAACCATTACCAGTATTATTATCATATTAGTTTATTTATTGTACATCTTATAACGATAATAATCGTACAGCATTTAATGTTACGTCTGTAGGACTCCGACGATGGAAACTGTAGTTGTCTCCGCTCTAGCAGCACCTGACACACCAATCACTTTTGAAATAACTTATGAGGAACTTCTGGAGCGAAACGATGGATTATTTCAATACCGACTGAATCTATACCCAAGACAAGTACGTATGCCGACAGTTCAATTGAACTTTCTAGTTTAGTTTTATAACTGAACTATTGATTGATAGTGTTTCAAAACAATTAATGCTAGAACTGTTCAAATGTTCTGTTTACAATATAGATCTAATTTAATTCAGATTACCTTATTCAGCTTTAGGCTATGATGAAACCAACAATATTCTATCTTTGCCTCTTCTAATTGCGTTCTTAAGGATATAGGGCCTACTGTCTCCCCAAAATATCAAAAACATATCTTTCCACTGATTTGCTGACATTTTGACTACAACTATCCTGAAATCGCTTATTACCAGCTGTGGTCTATAGATGCAAAAGAATAAATACAAATATTATTAAACTGTCCGTTAATTGATAAGGAGAATTTTTATCTCATTCAAAATTCCAATGAATCAAAATTTGAAATTCAATTTTTCAAATTGTTAGCTAATGACAGTACAACTTTACCGTCAGTGTTCCTAATCTAATTTATATAGTCATGCTAAGTTTTAGGCAATGAGATAAAACGAAAATATACTTTCTGTTTTCTGCGTCTTTTAACTGCGTTCTTAACCATAATTAGATTGTCAACTTTCTCCGGATGGCAGTGTACGTAACTGAACCGCAACAGATTGACAGTCTTATGGCTAAGTTTGAAAATCACGTGGACAATGGACAAGACATTGATCTCACAAGTGAGGTTGTACGCAGAGGCAACACGGCCAGACGCTTACTGTATGATTTCACTGTCGAAGAACAGAATAATCACATTGATAGTTCAGGTGGAATAAAGGGAGACATGGTTATAACATATGATGTAGAACACGATACATCGGGTGGTTACATGGAGGTAGGTTTAAGGTGAACCACATTTCATATATCCAATAAACAAGTTGGTAACGTACCTGCAGAACAGAATTCCATATCATTTTTATTTATTTTTTTTATTCTGTCTTTGTTTTTTTTTTTATTAACTATTCATGACAAAAACATTTTGCTGAGATAAAATGATAATAATGCCAAATATATATTTAGCGCCTATTCCAAATTGAACGACCAAAGGCGCTGAAAGTTAGGCCTACTATACCCCTGGTCACTAGTCTGATAACAAGCAATGGCAAACTAGCACAAAGTGCAAACTTCTCTGCTCTCTGAGGTGATACCTAGTCGTGCGCTTGTACTCAGTGCACGAAGCTAGTACATTGAATGCCACAACATCCTATACCAAGTACCCATTTTTACTTTTAGAAAGAGAGAGACAAATGTAATAAAGTGAGTTGAACAGTGAGAGTTTCCAACACCTGACCTCAAATTTGGGAATCTTCTACAAGCTCAAAAATTAGTATATATTTTGTTTTGTCTAACCAGCTCGTTGCATGTATAACACACAAAATATAATTAAAGAAAGTCATTTCAACAAAACGAATCTGAAAGAATATTTATAATACCTTATCAATATTCATTGTTTGGACAATTCATTAGGTATTCTCGTTATTTCGTCATTTTTATCTAGAGGCTAGATGTTGGATGCATAACATTATGTTACCGACACCTTATACGACTAAGTGATAAAACCAAAATGATCATCCGTACTTTCTTTTTCAGGCTAAAGATGGATATTTTGTTCACTATTTTTCACCGAATGGATTGCGAGAAGTAACAAAACATGTTGTATTTGTTATCGACACCAGTGCTTCGATGGGCTTAGGCGACAAATTACGACAGACTAAAGAGGCGGTAAAATCAGTTATAGATGACCTAAGGGCTAACGACCGATTCAACGTCATAAGCTTTGCAGACCAACCAAAATCATGGCGGCAGAATGGGCTAGCCGAAGCGTACACAAACAACAAAGTTGATGCAAAGAATTTTATCAACAGATTAACTGATGGAGGAGGTAAGTTTGCCCTTATAGGTCAAATACATCATAATGACCACAGTAGGCCTTTGGGTAGAAACGGTTGGCGGAAAGATTGTGGCTCGGTTTTCCATCTTTGTGGTAGATGGGTCGCACCTCTCGCTGTGTATTTTGGTGTATCCTTGTACAAGCCGAGCACTCATTGTGCCAAACTGTCGTCAATTCAATGGAAAACGCAACACCACCAAAAAAAAGAATCAGAATATCATGCCCTGATTCGGAAAAAACTGCATTTTGTTTTCAAAATTGAGGTGTTTGGCTTACATGATGCCTGAGGGTATAATCTATCACCTTAATTTACTAGAAAGCCAAAAATATTACTCTAAATATGATTTTTTTTTTCAAATGAGCATTATCTACACACACACCACTACAAATAATTTGGAATAAGGCATTAACTACACTAAATTCCACAATACAGTATTGAACGGTTGATTTCACACAGAGGCAGGAAGCAGTTATCCAATCAGATGTCAGTGTGATGAATATTACTATAGATTTCCGCAAAGATAATGCCTAGTTTGTTTAGCTTTATAATGAGGATTAATTTGAAAAAAAGGCATTATCTACATTGATTTTTTTTTCTGATAACATGTACGAATCCTAATATTATCTTGACGATCTCTTTTACTTTGACACAAGTGACAGCTTATTTAGGAGCTTTTTGACGTGTACTTATTGTAAATATTAATTTTAAGGCAAAATGCTGTGCATCTTTTTTACATGCAATCATTTTATATAAAACATTTTAATTTTTTCATTCAATGGGTATTTTTTTTCTTCTAAATTAAACTTAGTATTAAAAATCCATAAGCATTATAAATAATACTTTGTAAGTTAAAGTTATTTTTATTCTGCCATCTTTAGTATTGATCGAGCTCCTAGTCCACCTATCCAAGCGCTTTGTATCCACTGGCAAAACGCTATATAAACTTCTATATTTATATTTAGATTTAGATCGTTCAATGATGATGAAACATGTAAATACCTAATTTGATACCATACAAAATATTATGATGTGTCCTTAGTTTTTAAGTTTACATTTTTGAAATAATTAATTTTAATTGTTTTATGAAAGGGGTGCTCTAAATATGTTTTTAGTGTCTGTAAAATTCATGAGAATTTAAAAATAACATTTCAGTAGCATTATTATCTAATGACCATAACGACGATAAAGTAACGATGATGATGGTGATTATACTGTAAAGAACCAGGTTGGTGTGGCATCTGATTAGAAACATAACAGTAAATCATGTCATGAAATATAAATAAATTTTCAATTTATCTCCAAATTTACCTTACATATACAACGCGAAGCCCACCCTCAACACCACAGATGTGTATAAGAGACAGGTCTTATGGCTAAGTTTGAAAATCACGTGGCACCGCGTCACTATGAATAAAACCCATTCCATATAGTTTGTTCTTAATTGGTTTACTTTTTATACCTTACTTACAAAACATTTGTTAAACATTTTGATAAAGAAATTATAATTTTCAACGCGAGTACATTTTCAAACCACTTATTTTATTTTTACCAATTTTTTGCCAATATATGATTCCAATTACAAAGAAGTGAATAAGTATTACGTCACAATACACAATTTTCAGAACTGACGCTAACCTGGCAGCAGCGTATCTGGGGGGTGGTTCGCAGGGGGCACATGCTCCTCCAAAAATTACTCGCCAGTCGTCACCCCCAAAAAAATCACTTGCAAGTAGTTAAAAATCACCTAAAATCACATTATTTTGTGAGTTAGCGCCCCTCAATTGATCATCGATCCCCCTCCCCCATTTCAACTGCGCCCCCTCCCCCCGTGTGCACACTGTGTGTGCGCTGAACCGCGGAGATCTCTTGGTCCTTGGTTCAATTCCCATCGCTGCCTCTCTTTGTGTTTCAGCTAAAGGGCTGAAATACAAGTTCCAATAGCGCACCGTCTTTCGGATGAGACGTTTAAGCCGTTGGTCCCGTGTGAATTTATTGCCCATGTGCACGTTAAATAACGCTGTACACTCTTCGGAAAAGAGTAGGGGATTGTCTCCCGGTGTACTGCCCAATCACCACCAGAAGGACCCCACTGGAAATTAGTCTTCTTCTAGACATTATGGGCTATCTTTAGTGTTTACACCGAATAAATCCAATCCAATAGATACGCCACTGTAACCTGGACAAGACAATCGGAAACGAATAGACATAAACTTATTAATTAACAATAAATACGCTGAGAAATACTTTAGATATATTATGTGTATAGGATCATGTAACTGCAACAAGTAAGATAATGCAATAACAACTCTTTTTATTATAATTTCAGATACAAACCTGTACTCGGCACTGATAAAAGCTGACGAGGTTCTTGATCGAGGTGCGCGTGATGTGTCCGACAGTGACGATGAAATATATTCAATGATTATGTTATTTACTGACGGCAAGCCAAGTGTCGGTGTAACAGATACCGATGAACTAGTCCGTCACGTGACAGATAACATCAATAGCGCACACTCTCTTTACGCAGTCAGTTTCGGACCTGATGCAGACTTTGAGTTCCTTGTTCGACTATCAGCCCAGAACGATGGTTACGCTACTAAAATTTATGTTGATGATGACGCTGCGAAACGTCTTGAAGACTTATATGGTAAAATATCTTCAGCCGTACTCATGGATACTACTTTTGAGTATTCAAAAGGAAAAGTTAACGTGGACTCCCTTACAGCAGTTACATCACAACCGTACTTTTTGGGATCTGAAATTCCATCTGCAGGCAAACTTGAAGACGATGCCACTGGTGTGTTAAGAGGAATTGTAACAGGAAGATCTGATACCGGCAGACGACAAACTTTCCAAGCAGATACGTCTGTTACGGTAGACAAAGCATTTTTTCAAAATAGTTCATAATAGATAAGAAAATGTTTAGTGTAAAAGAATACAAAACAGAATATTAACGTAAATGTATACAACCAATAATTCTATTAAAAAATGAATTTTAAAGTTATAGTATGCGATAATTATATTTTCAATTTAAATATTATCTCTTTCTTATCAGAGTCCTTCACCAGCAATTAACTCCCAATACGTTCCCACCGATGTTGTAGAGAGGGTATGGGCTTATCTACGAGTCAGATACCTCTTGGACCGTTATGCTAGAACTAATGATCCCATGATTGCAGCAGAAATTATCAGTGTTGCCCAGAAATACAAGTTCTTCACTCCACTGACACCACTTGTGTTTGTCGATCCGTCAACAACACGACAAGTTAATGATGGATCTTTTTCGCATCCACTGGTCACGTTCAGTAGTGATGACTTTGCTCTCTTTAACGCTCTTGTAAAAGATTACCAACCTCCAACAGGTGAGCAATAACATAATTCGCAGATAATCAGGCTTTTATTAATATGATTGTAAGTTACTGTGACTTGTGTAGCACGTCATAACCCTAATAAAGTAATCAGTTATTTTATTTTTGCAGTTACTGAAGAGCCACATGAAGTTGTACCACCCGGCATTATTTTAGAACAATCTGTATGTTTCTATATTTATTTATTTTATTTTGAATTAGTTTTCTAGCTATCCATTTTGTTTGTGTTTGCTCTTAGAATCTATATATTATTTGTTTTATAAATGGTTGCATAATCCTAATCATGCAACTCACACGTTATATAGGCCTATGTACTGTTAATCTTTATTATAACTTTTTTTTTCAAGGACGGGATTGACTTGCGGCGGTTCAACATAAAGTGTACTATTGGTGCTCGGTACTCGATTACGGAGGTATTCAAACTCTTTGATAACCTGAGCTCCCGTAATGGCAGGGTTGTCTTCCGATATGATATGCCTAGTGATGCTGTTATTTCATCGTTTAAAATGTAAGTTTATAAACTTAACATTGTTTATATAAATGTACTAATCAGCGACGTGCTAACACATTTTTAAAATACCACATGGGTAGATAATTAAAATGATATAGGCCCCTAGTGATTAATTGAACTGTATATTGTTTCTGTGAGTAATTCCTTTGGATAATACAAGATACAAGATAAAAGATATTTCATTGTTCAAGTAACAAAAAAAATAACATGAAAATTCTGTTTCCACTGGCAGAAAAAATTATGTTATAGCAACAAAGACTTAACTAATTTAAATAAACGTCAAAATACATTACCTATACATATACACTTAATTATTATCGTAAGTCAGCAAGCAAATTATTACACACGTTTAACTATTGAGCTGTATTTTGTGAATGGCACCAGGAACAAACGATTGCCTGAAGCGGCATCGTGAGGAGCGTGGGACACACAGTCTAATACCAGAACGGTTTTATTTGAATTTACAGTGTAGCGGGTGTGGCTCATCATTCATGATCTAGTGAATTTTTAAAAAGAACAGATTTATGATAAATATATCAGACAGAGGCTATGTTCTCACACGGCAGCTAACGGTTAGCAGGATCCGGATCCTGCTAACCGTTAGCTGCCGTGTGTCCATGCGAGAAAATCCCGATCCGGATACCAACAATATGATGATCGAATCACTGGCTAATAAGAAACTGGAAATTGTAAACGCGTACGTGTGATTAGTTGATGATAGAAACGGCCTCAACTTGCTAACCGATAGCGCTTGCTAACCGTTAGCGTATCCGGATACCGCTAACGGTTAGCTCCCAATCCGGATCCTAGGGCTCTCGTGAGAACCAGGCTATCTCGCTGGGAAACTTTCCTATGACGTTTCAGTTTTTGTTTTTTGTTTTTTTTTTTACTTTTAGATTAGTTAAGTTTCCAAAAATACAGATCAGGATAATTTATTGATTGGTTGATTTTGTGGTTGGTCGGTTCGCTTTGGTGCAAAAAACACAATGTTACTAAAGTACGAAGAATTAATTCTAGTGAGATCCATTTTGTGAGGAATTTAGCATAACATACCGATTGGATATTATCTTCTGTTTTTTAGCGTGCACATTGTACCAATGGCTTAAAATATTTGTCCACAATGTAATGCGCTATATATTTTAAGCCTAATTGCATTTCAGCCTTCCAACTAAAAAAAGGAAAGGAGTAATCAAATCAAGTTATCTAAAAAAAAATCACCTGTTCAGGGCCGAGTGACAACTACAGTTTGGCCAACTGAGCAGCTTTTAGGAACAGCTTTGCTCAGTTGGCTAAACTGGTGGTATCAAACGTGTGTGTGCTGAACTATGGAGATTTTTCTAGGTCACCGGTTTTCTTGTAAGTTACGATAGCTTTTTCTTCCTTTTTTTAAGCTTCAGATGAGACGTTTAAGACCTTGGTCCCGTGTGCATTTTGGCCCATGTGCACGTAGAGGAACACAGGGGACTCTTCGGAAAAAATTAGGGGATTGTTTTCAATGTGCGCAATCACAATAAGAAGGACCCCACTAGAAATTATTAAGTCAGTATTTCGTACCTGAATAAATCTATTCATCAAGCTATCTTGTTATATTTTCTAGGGATATTGATGGCTCAACTTATTCTAGTGACGCTTATGACATGTCTATCTTTCCAACAACTCTCCCAGGACCCTTGGATATCAATGGTAACGGCGGCTTTGTAGAAATCCGGTAAGCATTGCGTCAACACCAAGGAACTAGTGCTATTTAAAGCATTGATTTATGAATGGTTCTTAGTTTTTGTAAATACGCCCATACATTTGCCATACATTAATGCATTAACGGAAGATTGGGTGTACTAATTTAGCAGATCAAATGCGACCATAAAATAATTTTAAAATACACATGTTCCGTTTATAGTTGCAATGGTAACTCAAAATTAGAGTTGAGTTGAATAGTTTAGCGGCTACGATGCTTGCCTCTCAATCCAAATATCCTGGGCTCAATTCCTGTAACGGTAGTAGGATAATATTTTCTCAATTCTAGTCACAGAATTCATATCATATCATTGACCCTGCCTAAAGCTGAATAACATATTTTGTTTAAAGACACACTATTCTAACACTAATTGTCATCAACGAATTTTATGTAATAGGGGAACTTCGAAGATACTAGTCGTGTCTGTACCCGTTGGTGCAAGCGGCCGAGCCCAAATCCAAGTTACCTACGAACGACTGTTGAGAAGAACAAAAGGCAAATATGCAGAAGTCATCAAATTGTATCCCGGAGAGGTGAGACAAATTTACACCACTAATTAATTTAAAAGGGTTCTTGCTTGAAATGGTTAATTGAGAGCAGGAGATAAAATTAGTAATAGCCCGATTATTATTTATTTGTTAAAATGAATTTTGTAGGCCTAAAATGTCGGAACAGTCCCAATCAATAATAATTTTGCACTGACTGAGTTTGATAACAATAAGAAATGTATATCAATTTGATAGTTTGAATTACAAACTTGACTGCCTAGTTCTAAATTGTGTGTTGAACTGAACTAAACTTAACATAATTGCCTTGGCAAAATAAAATATTAAAAATGTTTTGACTATGAAATAACGAAATAATATTTATATTTTCTTAAAGCTAGTGGAAGACTTCAACATAGATGTACGTATTGCTGAACCGGCGGGTATACGATTCACCGATGCTAGCATTCTATTCACCAACAACCGGAACGTTCCTAAGCGCAGGGACCTGCCGGGTGCTGTCACACAGCAGCGCTCCACTATTAGCTCTGTCAGATTTAGTCCGTCGGAGAGTGAACAGTCAGCCTACAGTGACATTGGTATCAAGGGGGAATTCGTCGTCCAGTATGACGTCATACATGGCAACGATGGTGGGGATATACAGGTAAGTAGGCCATATAATATTTCTTCAATCTGACTATAAATATAGTAAATATGAAATAGTATAAAAAAAAAATATGTATAAATGATCAAATCATAGCTCTACAAATTTTTATTTTTAGCTCTACAACGATTATTTTGTCCACCACTTTTCACCAAACATTCTACAAGCTCTTCGGAAAAACGTGGTGTTTGTTATCGATGTTAGTGACTCAATGAACGGCCTGAAGCTGAAGCAGGTGAAGAAAGCCTTTACTACTATTCTGAATGATGTGAGACCAAGCGATCGATTTAATATTCTTGCGTTTTCCAATACAGTTTTTCCTTTCAGTGCTGACATGGTGGAAGCTTCGCCAAGTAATGTACGAGATGCACAGAAGTTTGTAGAGGATCTTAACCCACTGGACGGTAAGCATGTCCTCAGTGACATTACTGTGTCGTGTTCGACAGAACTAAAACTACTCTACTTGTAGCTTCACCTGGTGAAGACGACTGCGTGGTCGAATGCTTGTGTACTAATAAACTTTGTAAAATGTTGTTTGTCTTTAATTTACTGTTTATCACCATCTAATGAGTTTCTTCAAAACAAAAAGAAAAAAAAAAGAAAAGAAAAAAAAGAAAAAAAGAAAAGAAAACGGGGATGATATGTACACATTGCACATGTTTTACCAAATTATATCAGTCATTGATGGAATTTGTTAGCTCTAAAATTAAGATGATATAATGTGTTTATCAAAAAACTACAGGAACAAACTTGAATCGGGCTGTACTTGACGGAATTAATCAGCTTCGTAAAGAGAATGAAGATCTCGAACAAACTGGTCAGGACGAGGACGTTCTTGGTCTTGTTATTCTTCTTACTGATGGCACACCAACTCAAGGAGAGATCGTACTTGACAGAATCATTCAAAATGTAGAGGATGCAGGACGAGGGCAACCGGAATATTCCATTTTCTGTTTAGGATTCGGAAATGATGTGGATATGGACTTCTTAAATCGACTAGCGCTGACCAGTTATGGAATAGCTAGAAGCATACCAGCTTCGTCTGACGCTGTCGAACTGCTTGCAGGTTTTTATGATGAAGTTGCGACACCACTACTTTATGACATCCAAGTTTTCTATCTCGATGGCATTGCTGCTGATTTGAGTACAAGAGTATTCAAAAATTACTTCAATGGATCCGAAATCGTAGTGGTTGGTCGACTAAATGACTACCGTCAAAGAGATATTCTTAAATCTAGGATAAAGACTATAAGTCGAGACACAGACTTTGAAGCCACTGCGGATGCTAAGGTAAGTAGAAATAAGATGATGGAGTACAATAACCAGTGGCGCAGGGATGGGCCTAAACTATTAATATGTATTAAAAATAATTTCCGACTTAATATTATTTGAAGAAGGAGTAATTGTCGATTGATTGATATTCAAATTTAAGTCTGAGAGTGAGAATTCTAGAGGTGCCATAATCATAAATTTGTCCAAGACAATGTATCTACGTGTGCCTCCCTTTGCCAAGAATTTGCTCAAAGTTGTATATTTTATAAAATAATGCAGAACATACTTGCGGTAGCTCTTCATCGAGTAAACATTTATATTTATATTTTCAGTATAATCAACAGAATCATAATGTCTAACACAAGTCATTTGTATGTTTTTGATATTAGTTATATAATTATATTATTGTATTGCCTTCCAAATTAAGTCAACTATACACCCTAAGTACATATACAGGATATAGTAATGTTCTTATATTAAAATGTCACACGGCATAAATAATCAATTAACCATAATATTACGATATGCTGATATTGTACTTGGCAAAGGATTCTCCACAAATGCCATAAATGATTTGTCCATATACTGTATCAGAATAAATCGATGCTGTTCTTATGTTTAATTCCAAATTATTTACACTCTGAGTGTAGATCTAGTATAAGATACAAATTAAACGATCACATATTACAATGTTCGTATGCATATTTCCAAACAGAGACCACCTGATGAATTCCAGTATAACGCTCGCTATCCCGAGGACATGATGGCACGCGCGTGGGCTTACTACACACTACTTGAATTATTCGAGTCGTATCTTGAAGAGCAAGGCCCTGGAACTTTTATAAGAAATGAGATCACCACAAGAGCTGAGCGCTACAACTTTCTGTTGTCAAATAACTTCACATTCTACTATGTAAAACAAGACAGCGATCAAGAGAAAGTGATGCGAATTGTGGAAAGAGGGTCCCTGGACATGGCACCAAGAGCAGACTTGTACACGTCATGCCAGAATACAAGGAACGAAAAGTCGTGGTGTAAGTTTGCAGATTTTAGACATATGTAAGACATTTACGACTCTATCTCATAATCCAGTGGGGTCCTCCTGGTGGTGATTGAGCAGTGAATTGGGAGATAATTCCCTACTATTTTTCGAAGAGTGAACTGCTTTCTTTACCGTGTACATGAGCTACAATGCACACGGGACGCAACGGTTTAAACGTCTCACCCGAAAGACGGTGCGCTATAGCAACTTGCATTTCAGCCCTCTAGCTGAAACACAAGAAGGTGCAGCTATAAAAATTTATTAGGGTACCAATAGATCTCTATGGTTTAGCGCACATACAGGGTTTACTACCAGTTTAGCCGACTGCCAAGCTGCTGTATAAATAATAATACTAAATATTAATACATAATAATGATAATGATGATGATAGTGATGATGATGTTGATGATGATTATAATTGTGATGATGATGATGACGACGATGATGATGACGACGATGAAAACGACGATGACAATGGCCATGGTGAAGGCGAAGGTGATCGCGATGACGTTGATGATCATGTTAATGATGAGGAAGAGGATGTCGATTATGATATTATGATTGATTGCCAGTTCTAGCCTAAAGAGTTGTAGCTTAAGTCTGCAGGCATATCATAAAGATAACTGAATATTTTTTTATTGTAAATCAAATCCACCTATCTGCGATATATAAAGATATTACATATATAAATATGTACGATAACGCCTGCCAGTATTTACAATAAGCATTACTCCATTTCCAACAGGTGATAACGATCCACATTTTGTAGTACATGTTCCTCGAAGTAATATCAGTGTATGTTTTGATCTTAACGGTAATCCCGATGATGTCTTCAATTTAGTTGCCGATCCAAGTAAAGGTAAACTGTGTTCTAATGTGTTTATTAGTATCAGTCGTATTCAATACAGCAGAATGAATAACGTTATGAGTTATTCTAATACATTTACTTATTTTAGAAATCAATACATAATTGTGACTCTCAGCCTTGTGGTAAAGGGTACGAACCTTTGCTTTGCAAGTTGCTCAAGTCCAGCCCAGGCACTTTATCTACGATTGTCCTCTACACAATTAGCACCAGCATATGTTTGGAAACAAACAGATTCGCTATGAGGAGGATTTGCGATCTCCCCACAAAATATTGCATAATCTGGCCCAAACTCTCCGACTAGTAATGTTTTGACTACGCTTTACTTACATATACATATAGAAATAGTCGTTATCAATATTTGACTAATTACTTATGTTGCACTAACTTGCTGAATAATCTTGCTATTATGTTGCAGGTATTTTCGTCAATGCACTTCTTATTGGTGAAGACCAAGTTCATGAAACTGCAAAGCACAGAAAAACATACTTTGGACAAATAGCGTTTGTGAAAGATCCACCAAACGATCCTTACTCCATATACTCTGATATTCTAATTAACCCGAGCGAAATCATAATTAATAACGAAATTCGATTACACTGGCGTAAATCGAGAAATCTTAAAATTCGAGACATTTCAGTAAAAGTATATGGAGAACATGCGAACGTCACATTAGCCCCGGGGGTGAACTTTGTTGTGCGACGTCATGTGCCGAAAGATAATTTAAACAAACCTGTGTATCTGGGAATATACATGGAGGATGCAAGTGGATTTTCAGACGGAGTACATGGAATTATGGGTAAGTTATGATATATTTCGTTGATAACAATCTTATCATTTTTCTTTTTTACGAGTACGGTATTAATATCTGCATTAGGCCTATCACAAATCTACTTGGCAAGGACAATTCATACTTGTAATAATAGGCTTCTTTACAATAAGTGATACAAATGATTATCAGCAATCATTTTTAAATGTATTTGATGAAGTTGGATTGGATTTAATTGAATTTATTCGGTGTAAACACCAAGGATAGCCCACGAAAGTCTAGAAGAAGACCTATTTCCAGTGGGGTCCTTCTGGTGGTGATTGGGCAGTTCACCGGGACACAATCCCCTACTCTTTTCCGAAGAGTATACTGTGATCTTTAACGTGCACATGGGGCATAAATTCACACGGGACCAACGGCTAAAACGTCTCATCCGAAAGACGGTTCGCTATATAACTTGTATTTCAGCCCTCTAGCTGAAACACAAGAGGCAGCGATGGGAATTGAACCGGGGACCTAGAGATCTCCACGGTTCAGCGCACACACAGTGGCTACCACCAGATTAGCCGACTGAGCTAAGCTGCTCTCAAAGTTGATGAACTGGGAAGCCGAAACCTTGTTATATATTAATTCATTATATTTTGAAGGACAATTTGAACACGCAACAGCTGCTGTCAAACGGCATCCAAAAGGTAATGAGGACACAGAACAACGAGGAGTGCTGACAATTAGAGGAAAAGAAGTAAATGTTAAACTGAGTGGACGGACAGATAGTTTGAGAAAACAAAAGAAGGAATGTTGGAAAGTTGAGAAGAATGGACTTGGTGTCATTCGGGGACATTATACTGACTACATCCAATCGGATTTGTTTAGTACTGCTTTGTAAATTATTTATCCTTATTTGTTGTTCATTTTCAACTACCAATCTTACACTCGCAAATAAAGTACCAGTAAATTTAAGAATACAAAATGATCGTTTGTAAATTCTTTTAATAAGTTGATACTTAATTCTATCTACTACTTTTTTGGATCATCCGCTATGTTTGACATTCTTCATGTCATTGTTTCCATTATAATACGACTACAACACCATCTAGTGACATGTTGAATTTAAAGTGTGTGATGAGTATAGAATTGATATTTTGAATCAAAGGATCTTTTATAATTCTAGTTTGAATTAGTTACCTAGTTTGTAAATACATTCTCATCAAGCAATTCAGCTTTAGTGACATTCTGTCATGTTATTCATTGTTCAATTATTACATATAGTTTACTTCAAAATTATCAAAATGTAGGTGGAGTTAATTAATGGGATTTACTTAAATGTGATTTCAATCCACTATTTGGTTAAGTCTGTGTACATTCTTAACTTCATATTTTTGACAGACATGGTTAATTATATAAACTGTAAAATATAACAGTTAACACTATTATTAGCTCCTTAAGGTGAAATGATTTTAAAGTAGCTGGTATAAAATTATCCTTTGAGATTGTGGTTAAACATGATGTGGGGTACAAAATCCAAGATACTTGAAATCTGATTTGACCTCAATTTATTATTTTTAAATCGAATAAACCTTTGCTATATCTCTGCTACACTGGTCTATTGAAGTTATTTTGGTGTACTATTGCACACACACACACACACCCACACACACACCCACACACACACACACACTCTGTTGCAGGATTGATCTTAAAATTTATGTTTTGGGACACAAATATGAAATGGCCATATTTCTGCAATACCTAGGTTTCTGAAATTATTATATTATAGAGAAAGTCAAATTTCTGCAAAGTATAGTTTGTTATTCAGACATATCTGTATTGATATATTTTTGTTAAAATATGTTTTTAAAATTGCAGATGTCACACCATTATCATCATCTTCCATTAAACATCATCCCGTATTTATCACTCCATTATTATTCATCACCATCATTGTCATTCTCTAATTGTTATTTTTGTGATTGATTATCATCATATATATTATCATCATTCATTAACATCATCATCCATTATCATCCAATACCGCAATCTTCCATCACTATCAAAATCGCCGTCATCATTATGGTCATTCTCCAACATCATTGTCATTCTACAGCATCATATCCCTGATTATCGTTCTCCATCGGAGAAGTAATTTTCTATCATCATCATTATCGTAGTCACTCAACATATTCATCCAGAAAAAAAAAAGAACTTTACCATCTTCAATTATCAAAATAAACGTCATCTCTCATCATTATCATCATCTTAAACCATATCCGTCTTCATAATCATCATCATAATCATCATCATCATCATTATCATTATCATCATCATCATTATTATCATCATCATCTTCCTCTATCATCTTAAACCATCCTTCTTCATAACCATCATCAACATCATCATTATCATCATCATCTTCCTCCATCATCTTAAAGCATACTTGTTCATGATCATCGTTATTATCGTCGGTCAAAGTCATCATCATCGTCATGCATTACCATCAGCATCATCATTCCATCAGCATCATCAACTCCCTAAGTCATCCTCTGTCGTCGTCACCTTAGTCGTCTTCGACATACCCTATCACTAACAAGGTTTTAGAGAACGTAAATGCATGTATTCTGAACAGTTTGACAGCAACTTTCTATAGACCCAAGCGTTGCAGAGATAGAAAACAACATAAACATTATTGTCACAGGTCACAGAGGTCAAATCAGATTCTCTAGTAACTTTGATTTTGTATCAACACATGCTCTATTACAATGCAAAAGAGCAAATTTGCATCCACTATTGTAACAAACCATCTATTTTTGGTAACCTTAGATACTGGACTGTAATGCCCTTAGGGCCTATAAAACATTTTGAAGGCATGATAATGGTAAGTTATATTACACTGTGAATGTATTAAATAATACATGTGAACGCAAAATAAGAAGAGAATCTTTAGATGCCTACTTTCGCATTCCTCAATATTATATACAATATTATTATTTACCAGTTGTATACAAATAAATGTGAACATACGCTTGTTTTTACATATAATTTATTTTAAAATTACCAAAATCGAGGTACGGCTCCTTGCTGTGATGTACTTGAATGTGCTATAAATATACTCGGTTAGGTCTGTGCACATTCTTAACACGAAATTTGATAGACATAGTTAATTGTATACACTGTAAAACAGAATAATAGGATATCTGTTTAGTTATTATAAATCATACCTTGTTTTATACAAATTTGCAATAACCATCCAATTTTGTTATGATTTTGATTAGTATTATAAATTCCAAAAATAGTAATAACGTATGCCAAATTTAACAATGATTTTGAAATGTATGCTGTACCGAAAGCGTTTTGGCATTTAGTTCTTTTTGTAACGTCAACAAAAAGTGCACCAACACTTTTTTTTTCAAATTTCTTACTTAACTTTGATCTGCATCGTTAGGAATTTTGTCGGTCAATTTATGAATACCACAAGGACTTTATTATCAGAATTAACACTAGTGCCGTTATAATAAATTAACATTTTGAAGGCATCATAATGGTAGGTTATTATTACACTGTAAATGTAATAAATGATACATGTGAACAGATTTAGAAGAGGACCTTTGAGACATAATTTTGAATTCCACTTCTTTAAAATTAAAAATATTATACTGTATACAACATTATTGTTAGTTTCGGTGTGTTTGCTAATATGAATCGCTTTGCATTTAATTAAGGAATGTATCATTAGAAAAATACAAAAGAAAATATTAAATAAACAAGTCTTAACTACAATATCCAAACAAACTTCACTTATAACGGCTAAACAGACATTCACAAAACAAATAACATGGAAAACAACATTATCACAATATTTGAAAAGAACTGCGAAAAAAATCGCAAGTTGTTCTCGGGTGGGACTCGAACCCACGATCTCCACATCACTAGACTGGCATCATACCTGTAGACCACCGAGCTTGCGCCTGATGGCCAGGGTTGAATTCGAGTCCAAGTAAGCAGCAACAGTAGTTGTTTAGAATTTATCTCTTTACTTGCATCGCTGTTATGATATATTTTCTTGTCGTTCCAAATGCATAGGCGTATTGGCAGTGGCGTACTCAAAAAGGGATGCTCATGGTGACTGAGCACCCTTCTTTCTGTTCAAAGATTGATCTTAATTAATGAGAACAACTAGTGCTACTCGAGTATAGAGTGTAAAAATCTGTGCACCATTCAACAGCCAATAAAAGCTCCATAAGTCAGTGCCCGTGTTCCAATCTCGGCTTTTCTATGTAAAGGGTTTATGGGCCAAAACTAATAAATGAGGCTAGGAAACTTCCAATAGACTTAGTTCCAGATGTTATCAGTCGTCTTAAGTTTAGCTCAAAAGGAGTTATTGATTCCTGAAGAACTCCCTCACGAACTTGATCACATACCACTTCAGTCATGCTTTCTGTAAGTGTTTTCAGTCCACTTTCCATTTTTTCCAATGTTTCCTCCGCAGGTGTTGCATTGCTGACATTTTCATCTGTTTTTTTCCTAGAACGCATTCCTTCAACATTTTTCATTTTCTCGAGTAGTGATATGCCGGCTTCCGTCCTCAAGTATTTTTCCTTTAATTGTGTTTTGTGTACTTTCATATTCACTTGGGCTAATGCGTACGCTTCGTTTGTATAAAATTTATTGCTATTTTTATCTAGCATACTTTCGATCACATCAACAAGGTTTTTGGTTTGAAGCTCATCTTCCTCTTTACCATTGGTAAGACCTAAATGAACAACTCGATTATTACATTTTTCAATTATTTTTTTTATCACTACTGCGGCACCTGATGCATATGCTTCTGGACTCATGCCTTTGGGGCTCAAGACATCGATTTTTGTTAGTGCAACCATAGAGTTATCAGCAGCTCCCGGAAAGAACGCACTCTGCATTCTCGCCATTGCTTGCTTTTCTTCAGATGATAAATCGACGCTTGGTACTACAAATATGCAAATGTGTGGACCTGGTAACGTAAGGCCAATTAGCTTGTTAACTTCAGTGATAATAAATTTTGGTGCAAATCTCGTATGAAACAAACATGGTGTTTCAACGACAACAAAACGTCTGCCATTGCGCACGCAGGTGGCATATGAGCTTGTCCTTGTCTTTCCTCTACTCGGTTCATCAGTTTTGAAAGTGTCGTTACCAAGAATCAAATTTCTTACTGTACTTTTTCCGGATCCATCAACTCCTAAGAGAAGAATGCGTACCTCGTTTTCTGGGACATCATTTCCTTTAACAATAATTTAATTGTATGTCAATAAATTAATATAAATATATTTGTAAATACAATGTTTTTATAACAGTTTGTAACCATACATATTTAATGAATATATATTAGGCCCATAATTGCATATACACGCTATATGACAAATTTAATTAATATATAATCATACCAGATATGCATATGCCTATTATTAGTATATATTATATTTTATATGATATAATATATTATACAGTGCGGCGCCAGTGTCTGAAATCCTTGGGGGGGGGGGCAAGTGAGGGGCATGGGCATGATGGGGTGGCCCGAGGTGTGCTTGGTCGGACGTCGCTCAAATTGTCTCGAAAGTGGTCTAGGCTGGGGCGAAGCCCAGATAAAGAAGACAATTTAGCGGATTCAGGAACTTATTTAATCGATTTTATAGAAAAATACCTAATAGGCCTATGTAGAAAATACATTGGGCTTTCCTTGCGGTTTTGAAAAATATTGGTAACTATATCCTCGACTGCATTTGAAGTTCCTCCAAGCACAGCCTACCACAACTAAAATGTAGCAGAGTAGTTGGGGTGGCAATTTAAAATATAATTATGAGCACTTCATTACGATTAAATTGTAGGAAGAAGGCAGGCCTACATCAACAGTCGTTGACTTTTGTTTTTGCAACAAATTCATCGTGTCTCACCTTCAAGGGTTTCTAATGCACATGCGTAATCAGACTGTATAATACCCTTCTCCTTTCTTAATGGTTCTGGCTTCGCCTTCTGTTGTTTTCCTGATTTAATCTTCCCATCTTCTGGTCCTTGATTAATTCCCATTGCTGATTAGGTAAATAGACGATTATATTCTGGGATAGAACTTTACACGCCTGCAAGTACAGCAAGTACATACAATGAGCTTATGCTAATGGCTGCCTGTATTTTCACTTTCAACATTTCGTTAGGCTTATTATATATTGCTGGTTTCTGTTGTTGATTATTATCCTTCGTGATTCATATTGTAGCTCCTCACAATTTGGCAAGGAACCAATCAGACACAATATGAAGACACTCCCGGAAGTCATAAGGTTTTATTATAAGCTGTCAATGTAGACTTCCTGATATTAAAAAGCATTTAGGCATAAACTCATTACAATACAAAGAACCACTTGCTTTGGAACTTGTATTCCAGAAGAGGAACTACACCAAATATATGAATAAGAATAAATTGACTAAATCTGACAATAAGAATCTGAATATGTATGTATAACATTTTCATAACATCATATAACATGTTTCTTTTCGGAGTTACTGTCTTTTTGTTTTATTTAATGATAATCAGTGAGTTTTTTGATATTTATAACATGTTCCTGTTATGTTATTATATCTACTTGTTTATAGAGTGTTTACGGACGTGGTACACATCAAAGAATAAATGGAATAATATTTGCTAAGCCTGTGATTTTCAAGCTGCGACGTATAAGCTAGGTTTATTAAGCTCTGCTCTACTTAAGCCCAATTAAGTTAGCGTTTCAGTCACTTCTATAGGAGAAAATGCGAAGGGGTTGACATAATCATATATCGTAATGTCTCTGTGGTCTAAATACATGATACTAGCAGAGACACTTTATATATATAATATATATATTTATATATATATAATATATATATATATACATA